CTAGATTCCCAGTCATCATCATCGAGATTTATATTTTTAACATATTTAGCTATACGTGCACATTCATTCATGGCCTCTTTAGCGGCTATTTCATTGTATGAAGGTATGGGTGCCTGATGAGCATCTGATAAATCTTCTTCTACAGGATTGGTATGACATGAAGGACATTGAGGTGGTCTTCTTACTAGTATTGTTCTAGCCGGCTGCAGACCATTACTTATTTCAATGTTATTTTGTGGTTTTGGTGTTGTATCTCTTATATAGCTATGTTCCATTTTATTACTTTCTGTAGAGGTATCAGCTGTAGCAGTGGTACTCTGGGGAAGAAATTTTAAAGGAATCGGTTTAACATAATTTAAACTGATAAAATCTTATGTTTTGTAAACTTATAAAATAAAATGCTTATGTGTAGAAGATAATTTGATTGGTGATGAAAAAATATCTTTAATTTTAAGCAAAAATATATCTTTTTCTGAGAACTTTTCTATAAGAAAATTGTTAGAATCTGAGCATTTTATACAGAAAATGTCTCAAATTTGGGTAAGAAAAGACTCAGATTTTGAAAAATTAAATTTAGTGAACCGCCTAAACAAAACCAACAAAAATTTAACAAAAAATTTACATTTATTGTTGTAGCTGTTGTTGGAGATGCTATAGTTGCTGTAGTGGCAGATGTTACAGCAGTCACACCTAATGATGTACTAATATTGTCAACTAAGGCGGTTGTTTTTGTTGCAACAATGGTTAATTGTGGACGTTTAGCAGCAACAATGGCCACATTCAAATTACCACCAACTTCAACTTCTTCACTAAAATGGGAAGAAGTAGGTAATGTTGTGGATGTCGTCGTTGCTGTTGTTGTTGTTACTAATGTTGAAGCTATAGTTGCTGTATTATTTGTTGATACTGTGGTTATAGTTGTAGCTATAATAGGCTTTACAATGCCCTTAAAATCTTTAATAACAACTTTTCCTAAATTTGTACTTGTAACACTGCCGCTTGGTGTAGTTTGTTTGGCTGTTAACGTTGTATACAATTGTTTTGGTTTGTTTTGTTGTTGCTGTATTAATAGCTGTTGTTGTTGTTGTGTTGGAGATTTTTGTATGGGTGTTAGAAATGTTGTTTTTGTCAGGGCTATCCTGGGTGCCGTGATTGCTGCTGTCGTTGTTGTTGCTGTTGCAATTTTTTGCAAGGCATTTGCCTTTATATCATTTTCAAAATCAGAACACGACGACTGCATTTTGTCATGGTAATCGATTTAAACAAATATATGTTTAGTTTTTTTACAAATTAATAATACTTTTTACTGCACACTAACTTTAATTAATAGAGCGAGAGCAATTTTTTCTTTTCTTATGTTGTTGTAGTCTATTCTTTTTACACATGCAAAAATTCCAACTGGACTTTGCTTTAAAACACTATATTTTGCACTAAATTAATAACAATTATTCAGCAATATTTACAATAAAATTAAATATATTATTATTTTCAATTAAACTAAACAAAAATTGCTAAATTTTTTCCACTAATATATGCAAAATTATATTTTTTACAACAGCCGCATACAATTATATATTTTTTACAACTACAAATATGGCGTCACACCATAGAAACAATATTGCCACCTCAATGAAAAACAAGCTGTCAAACTGTTTTTCCTTTATCTTTCCAGCATAAAACTGCTTTATCTTTTTAAAATAGCGTCTCTCTCACATTTTATTAAATGTCAAACAGCATTATCTCCCCCACAAAAAACATTATGTCTAAAATTTTTATTGTATGGAAAAATGTTTTGGATTTTTTTTTCTTATTTTATTCCTTAAAACTATACATCACCATTATAAAACTTACCCCTCCATCATCTTCAGGTTCTGCTTGAGTTTCTGTTTCGGGTTCTGTGTCTGCTTCTGGCTCAGGTTGTTGTTCTTCCTCGTTTAGTAAAGCTGATAGTTTAGATTTGGTATCAATATCTTTCTTTTGCACAAATTCCTCGAATAGTTTAATAAAAGACATTTTTCTTTACAAACACTAACACTTTTCTATAAATCCTTTTATAATCACAAAACTTTTCTTTGTTTTCTAAAAAATTTCACACGTTTTTAATACGTTTAAAACAATAATAGCTCTAGAATTTCTATTAACACAATATTGTCAAAAAAATTTTGGCCTTCTTGTCTGGTTGGTGGCCATCAAAACAATTGTTGGCTTTAATGACGTCGGTCTTTGGTTTAATTAGTTATTCTTTTAAATATTTTTGTTTTACCTGTAGTTTATTGTCGGTTTAACAACTTTTATTATTTAGTTAACTCTTTGGGCTATTTATTTTTATTAAAATATGACAATTTTTAGAAATTTGTGTAGGAAAACACGATTTGCGGTGGCTGTATTTTTTCTGATTTGTTGCTGTTGTGAAATTTTTGACAGTTTTGTGGGCAGAGGCCTGCGCAGAGACTTACGCCGATTCGGCTTAAGCCGACTAAGCCTAGCCGCCGAACAAAATGTCAAAGCCGCCGCCGCCGAAAATCTTTCAGCTTAATACGGCTTGAAATTTTCGCCATATTTTGTACAATTTACAGAATACTTTCGCTAAATTTGTGGAATTTTACAATATAAAATTAATTTGTTTTCATTTAAGCAAGTTTTCTTTTATTTAATAATAAGCCGCTCATTGAAATTTGGCCGGTGTAGAACTTTGCTCAACGTTCGATGTATATGCTTCGCCTCAGATATTTTCGCGCCTAATTCGAGTCGCTGCTTTGACTTCAAACCAGCTTCGTTGACGTCAACGGAGCTACACCTTTTTACATTGCTGGTATGTCATACCGTAAAGGGCTAGGGTATCGAACATGTGTATTTCAAATGGGAAGTGCAGTTGATGTCAATTCTGCCGACTGCGAAAAGAAATTCTGCTAGAATTTTTCGCGCCAAACTGTTTTCTGCATTTTTTATTTGCCAAAAAAAAATCTGTTGTTGTGTGTGTGCGAAAATCTAAAATGACAGAAATGATATTCTTTAAATAAAAAAATAATTTTTTACTAAAAATTAAAATTAATAAGATTGTATGCTATACTACTATACCGAGGGTCATTGTACAAAGAAACAGCAAGTGTTGGGTTGAATTTAGTTAAATTGTTAATAATTATATGGGTTTGTTTTCGTTTAATACCCAAAAGTGTTTATCGAAATCTATATTTGACATATTTGTGAGATCTAGATTAAAAAGATTAAAAAATGTATGTAATGGTGTTAATTAATTATTTATTTGTCTATAATGAACGTCTTTCTTTTCAAGAAAGAGGAGGCATGAAAAACAACCCTGGTCTTGTGAAGTGCAAATTGTCGGAGATTTTTCTTTTGTATATATTGTGGATTTCATACATTTCATACTTTTCATGCACATAGTATTATTTGGCTGACGATTCGGATAAATACCTCGAAATTATTTGATTTTCTTTATTTTAAGTGTGACCGATTTTAATTTTATTATATTGTCGTGTCGCCATTTTTGAAATGTAAAAGTGACGCTATGACGTCACGGATTGCGATTTCGTCGAAAGACGAAGATGGCGAGTATGGGAAGCTTCTCAAACTTGATGGCGGTAAAGTCTCAAAAGTGCAGAGGCAAAAAAGAAATGAATGGAAGGATCAAATGAAGGCTTTGGCAACGGAAACAGCCAACAAAAAGACTGCATCTTGTGCCACTTCTCCTATGGACAAGATTGATGAATTTATGCGGGCTATGATGGGTGATGATAATCGAAATATGATTCCGGACAATTGTGATAATACTCAGAATACCTGTTCTCAAATGGAGGTGACTGAATCTAATTCTGTACCTGTTGAAGCTGCATCAAATGCTGACGTACAACAAAATATGGTAGAAGCTAAAGGGCAGAGAACTGATAATGCAATTAAAAGTACAAACTCACAAGGTGAGAGGAAGGAAATTTTCTTTTATCCTGTTGGACATATGGGTGATGTGATTGTTTTATTTGACACATCTCAAGCGGAGACTGTCAATAATAAGAGAATAAGAAACGGGTTATACCTTTGGGAGAAAATTCGTGATGTACACATCATTGGTATCAAATCCATAAAGGCAATTGGTGTATCCTTGTATAGGGTCACCTTCGATTCCGTTGAGAATGCTTATAACGCTGTGCGTAACAATGATCTCGCGAAAAGGAAGATTAAACCATTTATACCACGTACATACCTCGAGACCTTTGGTGTCATACGTGATGTTCCAACATTTTTATCAGATGAGGATATAAAACGCAATATTGAATCTCCAGTGGCTGTTACCTCGGTAAAACGCTTTGAAAAACGTTTTGTTGAAGAGGGTATCGAAAGATACATTCCTACTTATGCTGTCAAAATAGGTTTTTCTGCTAATGAATTACCTACTGAGCTTATTCTGAATTACACTGTCCTCAAGGTGGATCATTACTATCCACCTGTAAGACATTGTCGTAACTGTGGGCGCATTGGTCACACCCAGAATGGCTGCCGTTCTGACAAACGATGTTTAAACTGTGGTAAAAAGGGTGGTTGTGAACCATCCTGCAATATCATCAAATGTATCCTGTGTAATGGCCATGATCATAATGCCAATCAAAGACAAAAATGCCCAAAATGGAATGAAGAGGAGGAGATAAGAAAGGTGATGACTATTAAAAAACTGTCAAGAAAAGAGGTACGTGACTCATATTGCCATAGCTCTGGGAAAATCCATCCAGTACAAGAGAATTGAATACAACACACATTTGGATATATTGATAATCAAAACTATGAATCTTACGACTAACTTTGTTATTTGTTCGGTATACTTTGAACAATCTATTTCTACCTTTGATTTTAATTATGAGGTGCAAAGATTGATTGATTTTCTGCAGAATTATGAGCACGTGATACTGGCAGGTGACTTCAACGCTCGTGGCAAGAAATTTGGAGACTATGCTGACCTTCCTAGGGGAATAAAACTGGTCGATATGATCAACATGTCTAACTTCAAATGTCTGAATGATTTAAGTCCTACCTTCAAACGAGACCTTAGTGGGTCAGTGAGTACTGTACTCGATTTAACTTTTACCAACACTGACTGTACAACGAATTGGAGTACTGAGCCTATGCTTCCTGCTGGCAGTCATCATTACCCAATAGTAATTGAAATTGTGGAGGTTAACCCTAGGGTGAAAACATTTTTGGCTAAGGGAAAATTGCTATCTGCACTGAAGGAGGTGAATTTTGACCCCAATATGAATGAAATTGAATCAGTATTTGAATATGAAATAAAACATGCCACTTATGAACTGAAGGACAGAAGAACTCCTAAGGCTTGGTGGAATAATGATTTGGTGAAATTATTTCGACTTCAGCTTGCAGCTCGTAAAAAATGTGACAAATACCCGACAGTGGACAACTTTAATGAGGCGACGTCTGCAATATCGGTTTGGAAGGAGGCTGTTATTACTGCGAAAAGGAAATCCTATGAGGAACAAATTCGAAAACTGAATGAACATCCTAACTCTAGGGAAGCCTGGCGCTTTGTTGGCAGTATTAATGGTGGCAACACGCGTATCTCATCCCCTTGGAATAACGACAACAACCAACTTTACTTACAATTTTTAAAGGGGCAAGTTCCTGTAGATGATTCTTCTAACTGTACCCATGTGATACCAGATGTCAACATTACTCGTGCATGGGATGATGGTAACCCTGCGTTTACTTTTGAGGAACTTCAGCATGTTCTACACAACAAAACTGGAAAGTCTGCTGGTGGAGTGGATAAAATCACATATGATATGATCCGTGCGCTTCCGGACTATGCTAAATGCTCCCTTTTAACTGCTTTGAATGATGCTTTTTTGGAATCTAACGTTAGCGAAAAGTGGAGGACGATTAAGATAGTACCAATACCGAAAAAGGACAAGGACTTGTCGAACTATGAAACTTTCCGTCCAATTGCTTTGATATCTGTATTACTCAAAATTGTCAACATGATGATTAAAGAGAGAATGACTGAATTCATCAACGACAACTCCATTATTCCTGAAGGAAGCTTTGCCTACAGAAAAGGAAAATCATCGTCCATGTGTTTGAATGACTTCTTACACAATGCTGCAACACTAAAGCATAAAGGCTTTAAGGTCATTATTTTAGTCCTTGATATAAGCAATGCTTATAACTGCATGAGCATCTCTATTTTGATGAGAATTTTAAACAGCCTTCAAATTCCTGAAATATATGTGGAATGGATTACAAATTTCTTATCGAAACGTACTCTGAAATTGGGCGACAAAACTATTACGGTTGACAATGGGCTTCCACAAGGAAGTTGCTTATCTCCAGTGCTTTTCAACTTGTACACAGGAAGGTTACATGAAATTCAAGATGACAATACCTTACTGTATCAATTTGCCGATGACTTTACGATTGTATCATTTGATAAAGATTTTGATTTGGCTGTCGAAAATTTGAGGTCCAAAATGTACCAACTATGTACCTTGCCAAAGGAAGCATAAAGAAAATACAGATCAAAATTGACAACAAGGAAATTGAACAGGTTAAGAAGATTAAATTGCTTGGCAGAACTATTAATGCGTCACTCACTGTTGGAGAACACTATGATCGAGTTTTATCTGAATCCAAAAGTGGTATTGGCTTGATAAGTAAATTAACCACCATAAAAAGTGGTTTATCGCCTAAGGTAGCTTTGAATTTATACAAAAGTTTCGTTCGGTCTAAAGTGGAATATTCCAGGACTACTGCTGCTCACACACCGAATTCAATCAATCGCAAAATAACAACATTTCAAAATAAAATTCTTAGAAGATGTCTTGGAGTGAAAGGATCTACACCGATTCAGGTAATTTATGCACTGGCTGATGAACTTCCTCCTTCCGAGAGAAGTATTTATTTGACTGCGAGGGAAATAATAAAACTCAAGGTACAGGAGAATCCCACATATGAACTGATCACTGATCATCCTAAGGTCAAATCGAGCTACAGCAATGTTTATTATGAGTTTAAATCTATTTTTGATCGAGTTAACACAGGCTGTAAATGTGAAAAGAATAACGGTTTTACTGCTTATACAAATCTACTCCCGGATCGGAAGGATAATATTCCAACAGAGCAGAGCAGGGCCTTGGCCAATTACAAACTACGCGAATATGAGAACAATGGATTCAGAATATATGCTACTGATGCCTCCATTGGCGATAATGCAACTGGTTGTGGAGTTTTTGAGGTCCACTCAGCCAACAAGTTCTATTTTAAAATTGATCATTCAACTTCCAGTTTATTTGGAGAATTATGGGCCATCATCAAGGCCACTGAAATCGCAATACAAAATGATGTTAGAAAGGTGGCAATCTTCACGGACAGTATGTCAGCGTGTCGACTTTTAAATTCCAATACGGATGATAATTATTGTGCTGCAATTTTTCACAACAAACTTAATCAATCTTATATCGAGCAATTCCATATGATTTGGATCCCTAGTCATGTGGGCATAAGAATAAATGAAATGGCTGACGAAATAGCCAAAATGGCAGTGGATACTGGTGATGTAATAGCTGTTGATCTCACCCCTCAGGAGGCGCTACGGGAAATCCGCAACACCCTGCGCAATAAATGGAACGAAAGATATTCGGACATGTCCAATGGTACTGGTAGACTTTTTGCTGAAATTTTTCCATCTATTCTGGAAAAACCGTGGTATTCAGAATGTGATTGGTGTCCTAAGGACATAAAGACTATAAATAGATTACTATCTGGTCATGTATATGACGGTAAATACTCGGACAACGACTACACATGTTCGATCTGTAATGTTGATAGGACTCCTCAACATTTGATTTTTGAATGTCCAAAATTTGACAACATTAGGAATAAATTTTCCATCTTCAAATCTTATGGCAATTTGCAAGTATTGCTCAAGACCAGGAATCTTGAAATTTTCAAACTGTTAATATCGTTTATGGATGAAGCTAAAATTGAGCTATGAAAAAAAAGAGGAGGCATCATGATGGTCTCCTGGAAGAATGCCCACAAGAGAGTGGCAATTGTATACCTCCCTAGTAGCCTAGGTGGGTGGTGGTCGGTCGGCTAGTGGTGACATGGTATATTATCACCTAGAGGCAATGGAAGGAAGCTGATTGCCGTATTCAGGGGGTATCCTTGAGATACATACTTATTATTATACCATTGATCCTAGCAGAATCACTACCATACACCCATAATAGAGCGCGATGTCTGTCAGGTGTGCCTTTCAGTGCAGCTCTTGTTGTCTCCAAACACTATGGTGGCCGAAAATTTACAAGAAACAACAAAATTGAAATTCACTTTCATTACACTTTAATTCAATAGAATTCTCCAGTGAAAACGAAACTTGAATTCAAGTCGAACATTAGAATCTTTTTACAGTATAATTCAATGCACGAAATCTATATATGTATGTACATACATACGTACATATATAAAATTCTAACGTTACTGACTGATTCATCATCGCACAGCCTAAACGGTTTTAGCTAAAGAGCTGAAATTTGGACAGGAGGTTGGTCTCCCACCAAATAGATCCACTACGACGGGATTTTTGGAAATTCGAATGATTAGGGGGTTAAATATGGTAAAAACAGGTAAATTCGGTAACCTCATATCTCCTAAACCAACGGTTCCCAAAAGGGGGTCCGCGGACCCCTAGTGGTCCGTAGCAAAATCCTAGGGGGTCCGCGAAGACGAACGAAAAAAATCATGAATAAAAAATATTCTCTATATGTTACAAAATATTAAAAATATCTCCAAATTTTTCATAAATACTAAAATACACAATTTTTATTCAATAATCCCAGATTTGTTGGTGACTCTTTGAATTTTATTGTTTCGGTCGTTTATCAGGATGAAGCTAGGCGCTACAAATTTATTGTTTCACTTTTATAAAGTAAAGTATTACGTGATTTGTAATTTTTATAAATATATATGTATCGAAATAAATGTTTTTATAGCAGACGGATAATGATTTGCCTTAGAATTAAATACTGATACTGGTATCCCGGAATATGAAGTTAGGTCACATTTCATAATATTTTTTTAAATTGTAAGCAAAAGTGTTAATCTAGTTAATTTTAAATATAAATATTCAATTCCAACGTGATACACAGATTTTAACTTCATTTTGTTGTCCAATATTATTAAATCAACATCAGAAAATTCATAGCGTTTTGCGTAAATAGTCAAAAAAAAAAAAAAAATAATTCATAGGTATTTTAAAATTCAAATTTAAGATCCAAATTCACAGTACATTCGCAAAGAGTTCAGGTCATATTTTATGTGGGTAACGCATTCCGCAACAACATCGAAGAAGTCTAACTTTCACATATTTTCCCGAAAACTTAGCTTACATACTCAGCTCACTCCTATGCAATCGCAAAAAAATTTAGAAACATGACTCTTTAAGCACATGTCGACAATACTTGTTAAAGAAACCTTTTCTCTACCTTGACGAGAAATGAACATGAAAGCTCTCACGATCATAAAATTAAACATCATGTTAGAAGTCATTCTATATTTAAAACCATGAAATTGAAAACATCTCCGAAATACTAAATGTTCTCAATGTACGGGAATATTTTATAGGGTTTATGGACCAGGACTAAGACAATTTTCGGACGAACAATTACACAGTGATACAGCAAAAAAATACGTTGGCCATGAAGCAGTAACTTTAGCTTTTATTACATTTGAAAAAAGGCACATTAAGTTTGGTTTCCAATGATGGTCAATTTATGATAATCGATGAAAAAGGTTATGAGTTGTGCTAAGTTTTATAAAAATATAGCATATTTCTTCCATACAAAAACGTTCATGTTTCTGGTTTTCTTTGTAACAAGTTTAAAAAATGTTTATAAACATTTTTATACAAAAATTAATTTGTATGGAGAAAACCAAAAATTCGAGAAACATGCTATTAGAAAAATTGGCATAAATCATCCAGTTTTTCATAGATTTTTATGAAATAACAAGTTTTAGAAACCTTTCTTTATGTGATTCTTCAGGAAAGTAAAAGATGATCTCACTGCCTCATGGTCAAAGTAGAGCATGATAAAAATGAAAATTTTTTAAAAAAGTGTGAGTTTTTTACTTAAACGACCGTAACTCAGACATTTGACCATAAATTTTGGATTTCTTTTTTTTGGATTAAAAGACACTTGTATCATTAAAAAAAAATATCGGATTTGAAAATCGGATGAAAACTACTAAACTTATGATTTTTCAAATTTAAAACTTCAAAAATGGCTCTTTTTCGCATCTTTTGCTCTTAAAAAGTAAGTTAACGAAGTGATAGGGGAAAACTAAAAATATATTCGTACTCTATGGACTATAACGAAATAGAATTGGTATATGAGAACGCCTGCATTTTATTTTTCTTCACTTTTGTATCACAGTGTTATTTATAACAATAAGATATCAAAATATGTATGGGGGTCCGTGAAATTAAATAAATTCCTCAAGGGGTCCGCGAAGTAAAAAACGGTGGGAACCGCTGTCCTAAACTATAAAAGATACAAAAACAGTTTAAAGCTTATCGTCATTCATTTAAAAAATAAGCGGACAGGTGTCTGGTACTTTTTTCAAATTCGGCCCCTTTGGGGAATAAACGGGTAGAAACTGTAATTTGGTACTTCTTTTGCACCCCATGTATGTTTTAAACCAGAGAACATTCAAAAAATTTTTTTGTGAATCCTTCATAACTTGACGAACAAATAAAAATATGAATTTAGTACTTTTTGGATATTCGGACGTTTAAGGGGTGAAAATTGTACCTATTTTTGTACTTTTTTTATAAAACATTGTTTTTTGGTTTATTAACTTATACATATGAATACATAATAACGGGCTCCCAATACGATGTTGCAACTGGTACTTTTTTGACTTAGAATTTAGAAACATGTAATTAAGCACTTGAGAATCTATAAAAGTGGACTTTTTGGTACTTGTTCGTTCTTCAAAAGGTACTTTTTGAGTTTTCTATTAAATTGAACATAGAAACATGAAATTATGCACGTAGAGCCTGGAGTAAATGAGAATCTATAAAATGGCCCTTTTTGGTAATTTTTCGTTCTTTGACTGGTACTTTTTGAGCTTGCTACAAAATTTGAACCTCGAAACATGAAATTAAGCACTTAGAGCCTGGAGTAAATGAGAATCTATAAAATGGGAACTTTATCGTACTTCGACTGGTAGTTTTTGAGTTTTCCATAAAATTAAACCTAGAAACATGAAAATAAATATGTAGAGCCCGGAGTAAATTATAATCTATAAAAAGGGACTTTTTAGTACTTTTTCGTTCTTTGACTGGTACTTTTTGAATTTTTTATAATATTGAACCTAGAAAAATGAAATTAAGAATGTACAGCCCGGATTAAGTGATAACATTTAAAAGCGGACTTTTTGGTACTTTTTCGTTCTTCGACTGGTACTTTTTGAATTTTTTATAATAGCCCGGATTAAGTGATAACATATAAAAGGGGACTTTTTGGAACTTTTTCGTCCTTCAACTGGTTCTATTTGAATTTTCTATTATAATGAACCTAAAAACATAAAACTAAGCAATCAGGGACTTGAGTGAATGAAAATTTAAACAGGAGTATTTCTGGTAATTTTTCGTTCTTTAACTGGTACTTTTTGAATTTTCTAAAATATTGAATATATAAACATAAAATTAAACACGTAGTATCCTAATTGAACGAAAATTTATCTCGCTTACGTCCATTTTGCAAAAATGGCTCGATATCAATCGAAATTTCTATAGGCCATAATTGACCCTGCCCCCTTCAATAATTGATTTTAACGTTTTTTACGTACTTAATAATACCATAATAAAACAATTTTTGTTGGAACGAAAATATGTAATGCAAATATGTATATGAAATCTTCTTGAGAAATGACTTAAACGCACATAAATGGATTTCAAATGTCGATGTCGACGAAAAAAACATTTTTAGGAACCGAAAAATAAAGTTATGAGGATCGGTCCGCCAATATATCCCTCTTACAGAAAATCAGTTTATAGCTAATACATCATTCCAAAAGTTATCATTATGATAGAATTATAGTAGAATTAAAAAAAAAATTACTTTAAATTATATATATTATTGATCCAAATCCACATTTAAGTCCCTAATCCGAAAAACACGGTGACGTTCTTATTAATCTAATGATCGGACCACTTCCGAAATTTGCTTTTTTACGACATATGATTTGCCGAATATAACTCTTACTTCTTACTTATTTAATCATAAATTACCGCTAAAATAGGATTAGTCTGCCTTTAGAGTTGCGAGTTTTCATACATTCTAATAATGTTTTCAAAGTGAAACTTTTGGAATATTTTTCAATCTCTTTGTGATCCCTTTAAATGATGTTGTTCTGGAAGAACTTTAACATCCATGTAAACATTTTGGGTAATAAATTGGGGGACTACCAATGAGGGGAGCGGAACCTCCCATATGAATTAAATACAAAAATTCGTTTATCTGGGAAACTAATATAACTAAATTCTTCAAATTTTGCACGAACAACTTTAATATTCATCTGAACATTTTGGGGAAAAAAGGGCGGACTTTCATCTGGGGGGCTTGGAGCTCCCATATGAATTAAATAGACAAATTCGTATATCTGAGAAACTATTAGAGCTAGAATCTTCAAATTTTACTGAAGAACGTTTAGAGAATAACGGGCGGTCTTTCAATGGGGGGCTTGGCACTTCCCATATGAATTAAATACAAAATTTTGTATATCTGGAAACTATTAGATTATTCAAATTTTTCATAGATTAAATTAAACGTGGAATCTCCCATATGTAACAAATTGAATATCTGGAAAACCATTGTAGTTAGAATCATCAAAATTGTTAAGTAGGTTTTTTATTTATATTGCTTTTAGGGTAGCACAGCACACTGGGTATAGCTAGTAAATAAACAAATAAAATATCTTTGTTTTTACGTTATTGATCATTTTCTTAATGCAAAATTTTTTAGAAACTGATTTTCTGCAAAATGTTTTATATGGAGAACTTGGAGAAAGGATTTGTTTTTAATTTTTAAGAATTTTTTATTCATCCCTGCATAATATCTCATACAACTTTTGAACTTGCTCTGTTTTGTTGTTATAAACAATATATTTGCTTCCAAAATCCTACTTTCTGATCTCTCGGATTCCGTTTTTATTTAAAATCGTTGAAAAATTAAAAACTAAACGTAGTTGAAAACTTAGCCGGCTTACAGTCGATTTTAAGCCGCCGCCGACATATTTAGTGTCAGTCGCCGCCGCCGTTAATATTTGTCGGCGCAGGGCTCTGGGCCTGCGTCAAACGTTTAAAAGCCGATAAGAAAAAAGAAGCAAAGCCGTTGAGTATAGCAGACAGATAACGGCGTTGGAAAATTATCAGCTTGCCTGAGTTTTTACATACAGAAATCCGTTAAGTATTTTGGATAGAACTAGTAAATTAGTTTTTAATCAATAAATTTTTATGTTGGAACCAAGAAATAATTCAACATAAATGCTTTACGATTCAAAATAAATCACATTTAATATTTGTATTTGGTGCACGGTATCATATGGCCGGCCACGTCCGACAAGTGCTTCCTACTTGTTTTTAATGATTTTCATTTATTTTGTCAAAAGCTGTCATTTAATAATTTACATTTGTCATGTTATCAATAACAAATTTATGTTAAATCCAGAGTGATAATAATCTATACTCTAACTAATTATTGTTTAACTCTGGAGGTATAAAAAGAGATGGACAAATTCAAAATTTTATTGATAAAAAAAGAAAGAAACAGAATTTGTTGGAGTAGAGCCACAAAGTATACAGAGGTGTCACTTTTGACATTTAAAAAAGTCTAAAATCAGCTTTTGTTTGATTTTAAAATTGTTTAGTGAGAAGAGGTGTATAAAATATATCCTGTGACCTAGCTTTACAATCAACTTGCTTAAATTATTTGTTTAAATGAATTAATAAGGGCGGGTTTCTTACTACTCAGTTAAACTAGGCTTAACTTGCTGTTAGATTAAACTCGGAACAAATTTAGGCGGACTTTAATCGATGATTGTGTTTTTCAGTTATGGATTTATGTTCAGTTAACTTTGTTAGTATTGCCAACTTTTCACTCAAAAACATAAACAATGAACAGCTGTTTTTGCAAATAATACTTTTGTAAAATGAAAAATTTTGGAAAATTGTTAAATAAACATTTAAAACAATAATAAATAAAACAAAACAAATCAGAATATTGCAATTTACTTAAAATATTAAGTTTTTGTTCTTCCGAAATCATTGTTTTATTGTTTTTGTTAATTGTGTCTTCTCACTTATAACTAAAGTTTAATTGGCCAATAACACTCAGTTAAACTAAGATAATAAGTAACGTTACTGTTTACTGAAAAACACAAAACATATATTAAACTAGATTTAAACAATGAACGTAGATTATCTTTATCTGAAAAACCCGCCCTAAGTCTGGCAAGTATCTACAAACAACTGTCAACACGTGTTTATTTTTTTCTGCTAACATCAAAGCCAATCACAAACTTCCAAACGGCGTTCGAAAAGGAGTGACATCAACAGTATGGTAAGGCAGTGTCAGCGATAAACAACTAACTAACTAACTAACTAACTAACTAACTAACTAACTAACTAACTAACTAACTAACTACTAACTAACTAACTAACTAACTAACTAACTAACTAACTAACTAACTAACTAACTAACTACTACTAACTAACTAACTAACTAACTAACTAACTAACTAACTAACTAACTAACTAACTAACTAACTACTAACTAACTAACTAACTAACTAACTAACTAACTAACTACTAACTAACTAACTAACTAACTAACTAACTAACTAACTACTAACTAACTAACTAACTAACTAACTAACTACTAACTAACTAACTAACTAACTACTAACTAACTAACTAACTAACTAACTAACTAACTAACTAACTAACTAACTAACTAACTAACTAACTAACTAACTAACTAACTACTAACTAACTAACTAACTAACTAACTAACTAACTAACTAACTAACTAACTAACTAACTAACTAACTAACTAACTAACTAACTAACTAACTAACTAACTAACTAACTAACTAACTAACTAACTACTAACTAACTAACTAACTAACTAACTACTAACTAACTAACTAACTAACTAACTAACTAACTAACTAACTAACTAACTAACTAACTAACTAACTAACTAACTAACTAACTAACTAACTAACTAACTAACTAACTAACTAACTAACTAACTAACTAACTAACTAACTAACTAACTAACTAACTAACTAACTAACTAACTAACTAACTAACTAACTAACTAACTAACTAACTAACTAACTAACTAACTAACTAACTAACTAACTAACTAACTAACTAACTACTAACTAACTAACTAACTAACTAACTACTAACTAACTAACTAACTAACTAACTAACTAACTAACTAACTAACTAACTAACTAACTAACTAACTAACTAACTAACTAACTACCTAACTAACTAACTAACTAACTAACTAACTAACTAACTAACTAACTAACTAACTAACTAACTAACTACTAACTAACTAACTACTACTAACTACTAACTAACTAACTACTAACTAACTAACTAACTAACTAACTAACTAACTACTACTAACTAACTAACTAACTAACTAACTAACTAACTAACTAACTAACTAACTAACTAACTAACTAACTAACTAACTAACTAACTAACTACTAACTAACTAACTACTAACTAACTAACTAACTAACTAACTAACTAACTAACTAACTAACTAACTAACTAACTAACTAACTAACTAACTAACTAACTAACTAACTAACTAACTAACTACTAACTAACTAACTACTAACTAACTAAACTAATTTTGTATGGCTAATCGTGTCATTCATTATGTAATTGGGGGTTGAATGCTGAATGAGAACGTGAATTACTAAAATTGAATCATGTCAACTCAAACTATTGCCAGCTTCCAAATTTTAAACCATTGACAACTTTGCTTTGAGACAATGCAACAATCTGGCCATATCTTGTTGGTAGGACGCATTATGTAAACAATATAACGGTTGTTTAGAATAACACGAGCAAAACATAACAGCCGGAAATAAATCTAAGGAACACAATAACAAACTAAGCAATAAATGAAGTAAACAAAACAAATAACATAAAACTCTCCCAACAAATATAAACTATGGTGGAAATTCCAAACTTTCGATTGGAGAACTCATATTAGTGAGGTGGAAATGACAATGAAGACAAAATTTCGAATAAAAACGAGTCCTAGGAGAACATATATTAACTTAGAGCAATTGGCTTAAAAGGCACAGTTGAGCATTAACTACGAGACTAAACGGTGGCAAAGTATAACACTTTAAGAAAAATTCTAGAGAAAAAAATTTGTCTACTGCAATTACACAAGAGTTGAAGAAAAAAATATTTTTTATATTAAATTGTTATAAAGATAAAAAGAAAATTAAAGCAGTTTTTTTAATATAAAATAAGGAATTTATTAAAGATATAAAGTGATATTTTAACACTTTTAAAGTGTTTAAGTAATAAAAAAATACTTTTCTGGGAAGAAAAAAACTTTAAGAAAAATTTTATATTTAAAAAAAAAAATCTATGTGTATAACAAAAAAGGCATTTCTTAGAGAAAATTAAACTAAAGTAAACGATTTTTTTTTAATAATTAAGCTTTTTTTGCAAGAAAGTGCAAAAATTTCGATTTGTCACTTGAAAAAAATTTATTGATTTATAACATAAATCTAAACATAACGATTTAATGTAACATAAGGTGTCGTTTATTACCAGCATATTAGCAGTGAAGAAACAACAACAACAACACTAAAATATATATACGAATTCATCAGCCAACAAAAACGAACGAAGGAACCAACCAATCGAGCAAACGAACAGACCGATTCGTAGAAATTTGTCATTGTGCAAGTGCACCGGAAATAAATCTAGTGGTGTGAGATAAAATAGATACAAAAATAAAGAGAGAGCAAGAGCGAGAAGTATTAAAGCGGAAATACACATACAAAAACAAACTGTAAAGACAAACTCTCACAGTTTTGCTATCAATTCAAAATCAAATATATAACGATTGTTGTAGTTTATTAACATCATACACAAACAACAACACAACCTCTAACAAGGACAATAATTTCCCTTCAAATACTGCTAAAATTTAAAGGCAACAACTACCACAACAAGAAGAACTTTAATTAAACCCCTTTTTTAAACAGCAGCAGCAGCAGTAAACGTAAACGTAACCCACTAACCCATAAAAAACTTTGACAACCTTAACTTTGCAAATATGTTGCCATAAAATCAATAAAACGCATTTTTTCTTAACGATTTTTTTAAAATTTTCTTTTTTTTTTGTTAAAAATCTTCAGTTTCATTTCGTAACAATAATTTAAAACAAGTGCCAAATATATACAAAATAAACAATTTTCTATTAACAAACAAATCGACGACCAAAAGAAATTGTTGTATATTTACAACAATCACGCACTTTGTGCGTCTCAAAGTGTTAGTTGTCGTAAGAAAATTTTCTATTACCGTTCTTAATATAAATATACTAGTCTAGTATACATGTTAACTGTTTACTAAGTGTGCGTGTGTGTGTGTTGCAAGGACCAACAGAATATCGTTTAAAAAATCAAGTAAATCTTCTTTACACGTGCATCTTTTAATAAAAACCCACAAAATTCCGCCGTTTATCGCATTTGCGTTTGCGAAACTATTTTCTGGCGGCCTCAAGCGTAGCAGATTTAAACCAATGCATTTAGGTTTGAAACATCAAAAACCAACAAACAAAAAACATCATAAACGTTTTTCCGGCAGTAGTAAGCGAAAATGTCTTTATCCCGAGAATTTAATTTACAGGTAAGTTTTGAAACATATACAAATACACTAACTTAAACGACATAAAGCCGAACACAAAAAGTACCATTTGAGGAACAAAGAGTACCACAAAATTCACTCATGTAGATTTTAATTCCATCAGGTTCCAATGTCTGATTATATGTTTTTAAGTTCAATAATTCAGAAAATTAAAAAAGTACCATTTGAAAGACGAAAAAGTACCAGAATCAGATTATAGACCATACTATAGACTAGATTATAAACTAGACTATAGACTAGCCTATAGACTAGACTATAGACTAGACTATAGACTAGACTATAGACTAGACTATAGACTAGACTATAGACTAGACTATAGACTAGACTATAGACTAGACTATAAACTAGACTATAGACTAGACTATAGACTAGACTATAGACTAGACTATAGACTAGACTATAGACTAGACTATAGACTAGACTATAGACTAGACTATAGACTAGACTATAGACTAGACTATAGACTAGACTATAGACTAGACTATAGACTAGACTATAGACTAGACTATAGACTAGACTATAGACTAGACTAGACTATAGACTAGACTAGACTATAGACTAGACTAGACTATAGACTAGACTATAGACTAGACTATAGACTAGACTAGACTAGACTAGACTAGACTAGACTATAGACTAGACTATAGACTAGACTATAGACTAGACTATAGACTAGACTATAGAACTAAGATCTATAGACTAGACTATAGACTAGACTATAGACTAGACTATAGACTAGACTATAGACTAGACTATAGACTAGACTATAGACTAGACTATAGACTAGACTATAGAACTACATAGACTAGACTAGCTAGACTAGACTATAGACTAGACTATAGACCAGACTATAGACTAGACTATAGACTAGACTGTAGACTAGACTATAGACTAGACTATAGACTAGACTAAGACTAGACATAGACTAGACTATAGACCTAGACTATAGACTAGACTATAGACTAGACTGTAGACTAGAAGACTAGATAGACTAGACTATAGACTAGACTATAGACTAGACTATAGACTAGACTATAGACTAGACTATAGACTAGACTATAGACTAGACTATAGACCAGACTATAGACTAGACTATAGACTAGACTATAGACTAGACTATAGACTAGACTATAGACTAGACTATAGACTAGACTATAGACCAGACTATAGACTAGACTATAGACTAGACTATAGACTAGACTATAGACTAGACTATAGACTAGACTATAGACTAGACTATAGACTAGACTATAGACTAGACTATAGACTAGACTATAAACTAGACTATAGACTAGACTATAGACTAGACTATAAACTAGACTATAGACTAGACTATAGACTACACTATAGACTAGACTATAGACTAGACTATAGACTAGACTATAGACTAGACTATAGACTAGACTATAGACTAGACTATAGACTAGACTATAGACTAGACTATAGACTAGACTATAGACTAGACTATAGACTAGACTATAGACTAGACTATAGACTAGACTATAGACTAGACTATAGACTAGACTATAGACTAGACTATAGACTAGACTAGACTATAGACTAGACTATAGACTAGACTATAGACTAGACTATAGACTAGACTATAGACTAGACTATAGACTAGACTATAGACTAGACTATAGACTAGACTATAGACTAGACTATAGACTAGACTATAGACTAGACTATAGACTAGACTATAGACTAGACTATAGACTAGACTATAGACTAGACTATAGACTAGACTATAGACTAGACTATAGACTAGACTATAGACTAGACTATAGACTAGACTATAGACTAGACTATAGACTAGACTATAGACTAGACTATAGACTAGACTATAGAGACTATAGACTAGACTATAGACTAGACTATAGACTAGACTATAGACTAGACTATAGACTAGACTATAGACTAGACTATAGACTAGACTATAGACTAGACTATAGACTAGACTATAGACTAGACTATAGACTAGACTATAGACTAGACTATAGACTAGACTATAGACTAGACTATAGACTAGACTATAGACTAGACTATAGACTAGACTATAGACTAGACTATAGACTAGACTATAGACTAGACTATAGACTAGACTATAGACTAGACTATAGACTAGACTATAGACTATATAGACTAGACTATAGACTAGACATAGACTAGACTATAGACTAGACTATAGACTAGACTATAGACTAGACTATGACTAGACTATAGACTAGATTATAACTAGACTATAGACTAACTAGACTAGACTATAGACTAGACTATAGACTAGACTATAGACTAGACTATAGACTAGCTATAGACTAGACTATAGACTAAGACTATAACTAGACTATAGACAAGACTATAGACTAGACTATAGACTAGACTATAGACAAGACTATAGACTAGACTAGACTATAGACTAAACTATAGACTAAACTATAGACTAGACTAGTAGACTAAACTATAGACTAGACTATAGACTAGACTATAGACTAGACTCTAGACTAGACTATAGACTAGACTATAGACTAGACTATAGACTAGACTATAGACTATATATCAAAACGATAATTTCCTCTCTATTTCATCGAACTTTTCCAGGGTGCGAAGCGTAGTTAACATCATAGATTTTACTAGAATATTTGGATTTTGATTGTTTATCGCCAAGCGTCACACTAATCCATCCTACAACCTCCATGGAAAGTACAAAAGAAACTACCCCCAAAAAGAATCCATTCATGAAATCTTTTGTGACGTTTTTTCTCATGTGCAAGAAATACAGTGGGAGTAGCTCAAATACTCATATTTAACTTTTAAATTACAGCTAAAAAAAACAAAACAACAACAAGTAATATATATTAAAAAATTCCCACTGACTGACTCATCTACCACAATTGCTTACAATAAAATAAATTTTGTAATGAAATTGTTATTGTTCGTAAAATGTAGGCAAGTGTATTGGTGGGCATATTTATGGCTAAATGTGTGCTGATTTTTTTACACACTTGTGAAAGTCTTTTCAAAATCTTTGACATCATAAAGAGGGCTTTTTACGGCACATACATATTTATTTATCCATTAAATTTTCCAAATGAACATGTTTTAATAAATTTTATAAATTATTTTTTTATATCTAAAACCAATTTTTTTAATTACATTGATAGCACAGACTATGGACTAGCATATAGTCCAGGTCATAGTGTAGACTATAGTCCAGACTACAGACTATATTATGGACAAAAGTCTTGTTTGCAGTTTAGACAATAGTCTAGTTCAACATATGGACTATAGTTTAATCTATAATCTAAAGACTAGACTATAGTCTATTCTATACTCTAGTCTAGTCTATATACAGGTTCCACTTTATTGTCTGGTCTATAGTCTACTGGATTATATTCTATTCTACAGTCAGGACTATATTCCAGTTTATCGTCTGGTCTACTTTATAGTCTAGTCTATAGTATGTACTATAGTCTATTCTATAGTCTGTACTATAGTTTGGTCTATAGTCTGGACTATAGTATAGTTTATAGTCTTGTCTATAGTCTGGACTATAGTATAGTTTATAGTCTTGTCTATAATCTGGACTATAGTCAAGTCCATATTCAGGACTATAGTCTAGTCTATAGTCAGGACTATAGTCTATAGTCAGGACTATAGACTAGACTATAGTCCTGACTAGTCTAATCTATAGTCAGGACTAGAGCCTAGTTTACAGTCTGGACTATAGCCGAATGCACAGTCAGGACTATAGTCTAGTCTAGTCTATAGTCAGGACTATAGTCTAGCCTACAGTTAGGACTATAGTCTAATCTATAGTCAGGACTTAAGTCTAGTCAATAGTCAGGACTATTGTCTTGTTTACTGCCAGGATTATAGTCCAGTTTATAGTCAGGATTATAGTCTAGTCTATAGTCAGAACTATAATATAGTCTATAGTCTGTGCTATAGTTTGGACTATAATTTAGACTACAGTCTGGTCTACAGTCTTGTCTATATTCTGGACTAGACTATAGTCCTGGCTATATACTAGTCCATAGTCCGGACTGTAGTCTAGTCTCTAGCCTGAGCTATAGTCTAGTATGTAGTCTGGACTATAGTGTAGTCTTTAGTATGGACTATACTCTAGTCTATAGTCTGGACTTTAGTCTAGTCTATAGTCTTGACAATGATCTAGTATAAAGTCTGGGCTATAGTCTAGTCTATAGTCTAGTCTATAGTCTGGACTATAGTCTAGTCTATAGTATGGACTATAGTCTAGTCTATAGTCTGGACTATAGTCTAGTCTATAGTCTGGACTATAGTCTAGTCTATAGTCTGGACTATAGTCTAGTCTATAGTCTGGACTATAGTCTAGTCTATAGTCTGGACTATAGTCAAGTCTATTGTCTGGACTATAGTCTGGCCTGGTCTACTTTATAGTCTAGTCTATAGTATGTACTATAGTCTATTCTATAGTCTGTACTATAGTTCGGTCTATAGTCTAGTTTATAGTCTTGTCTATAATCTGGACTATAGTCAAGTCCATAGTCAGGACTATAGTCAAGTCCATAGTCAGGACTATAGTCAAGTCCATAATCAGGACTATAGTCTAGTCTATATTCAGGACTATAGTCTAGTCTATAGTCTGGACTATAGTCTAGTCTATAGTCTGGACTATAGACTAGTCTATAGTCTGGACTATAGTCTAGTCTATAGTCTGGACTATAGTCTAGTCTATAGTCTGGACTATAGACTAGTCTATAGTCTGGACTATAGTCTAGTCTATAGTCTGGACTATAGTCAAGTCTATTGTCTGGAGTATAGTCTGGACTAATTTTTCATTAAATAATTTTCCATTAAAATTTCATATTTGTTATCGTTGTTCCTAGGAGTAACCCTCTCCATTAATAAATTATTAAACAATTACATAAATGTCGTGGCACCACCAGAACAATTAAATACACTTAAATATTTGACGTATTTTATGAATGAACAAAAAAGTT